GTCATGCACTGGGGGGCTTTTAAGGTAAAGAGGCTACAGTTCGGCGTGAGTGTAGCCCCTGGTATTTTCCAACAATTAATGGACTCCTTGTTAAAAGGGATCCTTGGAGTGACGACGTTTTTTGACGACGTCCTCATCGCCGCAGCATCCCCAGATGACTTCGCATCCCAACGGCCAGGCCGAGAGGATGGTGCGAACCGCAAAGGAAGCCCTCAGCAGGATAACGGACAGGGACTGGGAATTCTGGCTAGCCCGCTTCCTCCTGACCCAGAGGACGGCACCTAACCCCGTCACTGGCCTGTCGATGTTAGGCGGTGCTAGCCCACTGCAGGGTGTGCATGGGTGTGAGAGTATCAAATAAGACGTGAGTCTTATAGGCTTAGTGTAAAAGCTATTTACAGTTTATTCACACAAGCCACCACCAAATTATTGCACAGACCGACAAAATGCTTACGCAGACACCAGATATTCACAAGAAGATGGGTTACACTGTCATCACTGTACTTATACTTGCATTGACCAATCAGGTCTAATGCTGAGTCATTACCAATTAGTTCTGCCAGGAACCAGCCAGAACCGGTTGGAGCCAGCTCTTCAGACACTCAGAGCTGTCAACCCCTGTCACTTAGATTCATCTGATCTACAGCCAGACTTAACTGAACATAAGTATGTTGACAGGGCCACAGCCCAGCAGAACTATTGATGGGTCGGCGCCCCATGACTTTGTTAGATCGGCTACACCCGGACTGGGCACCGGACGCAAAGAGGATGATAGAGCAACATGAGGCTCCGAGAGGGTTCTTTCCGGGGGACCCAGTGATCATCCGGAACTATGGAACTGGAACCCCCTGGCTATCTGGAAGAGTTATCAAAGTCACGGGCCCGGTATCTTACGAGGTATCATCAGACGACAGCAGGCTCTTAAAGAAGCACATTGACCAACTGAGGCGGCGACAGCTTCCGGAGGCAGGAGAACCACCAGCGTTGGCTGCAGCGAACAGCACCTACCCACCAGAGTCCAGGGTTCAGCCCGATCCCCCGAGCATCGAGGAGGCCACTCCGAGTGAACAACTGCTGGAACCAATGGAACCCAAGACACTCCAGCTGTCACAACGGGCACCCCAGCCCCAGGTCACAGCTAGTCAACCGGAACTCATAGCCAGTGACCCAGTACCAGGCTCCCCCCCCCCCGCGTTCCCTCAGAAAGTGCAGATCCCCTGCCTATTTAAAGGACTATATCACATAGGTAGGGTCGGAACTATGGGGGGAGGGGTGTTATGTATGCAGACCACCACCAAGGGTCCACGGCTACAGTCGGGAGCTTAGCTCCTCTAAACAATAGGAACCTAGGATACTAGTTTCCCCAGTTTCACCAATAGCAACTTTGGCGGGAAATTCAAACCCTCCAACGGGACTGTGGGTGTGCTGGGTGGGTGTGTATATAGTTGGCCTTGCAGGGCCATTTTGCAGTTCCAGTGTGAAGTACAATAAACGTGTGCAAACGCATGTCGTTGTCTGAGTCCTCCATGCGGCGAACCCAGTACTTTACAACAGTCACAGCTTAATTATCCATAGGATTGATTTGCAATAATACGACTTGCCATTAGCTTCTAACAGAGATCCTGGGACTCCCTTTTTGTTGTGTGCTTAGCTTTTATGTTTGTATCAATGAAGTCCTCTATACCACAGTTGATCTCCCTTGCAGCTCCAAGTGGCAGCGTTTTGCATTTTGGGAACTGTAGGAAGCCTATAAAATGCAGCCATAATAACGGGAATAAGGTTATACCTCGATGCCATGGGAGAACAATTCAAGGCATTTCACTAGGAACTAAAGGTAAATGTTTCCCTTTCTTGAAAGCCAGTCGAATCAGACTCTGGGGGGCAGTGCTCATCTCTGTTTCCAAGCCGAAGAGGCAGCGCTGTGGTCAGCATGACTAGATGCTGAGGCGCACGGAACACTGTTACCTTCCCACCAAAGTGGTACCTATTTATCTACTTGCAATTTCTTGCTTTCGAACTGCTAGGTTGGCGGGAGCTGGGACCAGAGACAGGAGCTCACTCCATCATGTGGCACTCGGGTCTCGAACTGCCGAACTACAGACCTTCCGGTCTGCAGCTCAGCGTCTTGACCTCTGAGCCACTGAGGCCCTATAGGTAGCTTTAAGACCAACCAGTGTATTGTGGTACTACAGACCTTCCGGTCTGCAGCTCAGCGTCTTGACCTCTGAGCCACTGAGGCCCTATAGGTAGCTTTAAGACCAACCAGTGTATTGTGGTATAATCTTACATTGGCCCTGACCTGGATAGCCCAGACTAGCCTGATCTCATCAGATCTCAGAAGCTAAGCAGAGTCAGCCGTGAATCGTACTTGGATGGGAGACCACCAAGGAAGTCCAGGGTTGCTAGGCAGAGGCAGGCAATGGCAAACCACCTCTGAATGTCTCTTGCCTTGAAAACCCTATGGGGTCACTGTAAGTTGGCTGTTACTGTAAGATGGCAGTTACACTTTCCACCACCACCACCAATCTGATATTGACATAAGAACATAAGAGAAGCCAATGTTGGATCAGGCCAATGGCCCATCCAGTCCAACACTCTCACACAGTGGCCAAAAATACCAGGTGCCATCAGGAGGTCCACCAGTGGGGCCAGGACACTAGAAGCCCTCCTACTCTTCCCCCACTGGAAGCACCAAGAATACAGAGCATCACTTGCCCCAGACTGAAAGTTCCTATCTATACCTTATGGCTAATAGCCACTGATGGACCTCTGCTCCATATGTTTATCTAATTCCCTCTTGAAGCTGTCCATGCTTGTAGCTGCCACCACCTCCTCTGGCAGTGAATTCCAGGTGTTAATCACTCTTTGGGTGAAGAAGGACTTCCTTTTATTCGTTTTAACCCGATTGCTCAGCTATTTCATTGAGTGCCCAAGAGTTCTTGTATTGTGAGAAAGGGAGAAAAGTACCTCTTTCTCTACCTGCTCTATCCCATGAATTATCTTGTAAACCTTGATCATGTCACTCCTCAGTCGTCGTTTCTCCAAGCTAAAGAGCCCCAAGCGTTCTAACCTTTCTTCATAGGGAAAGCGTTCCAACCCTTTTATCATTCTAGTTGCCCTTTTCTGTACTTTTTCCAGTGCTATAATATCCTTTTTGAGGTGTGGTGACCAGAACTGTACACAGTATTGACATCTAGGACTCACTTTATCTGAACCCTAGAAAAGTTTGTGCCACAACAAATGTTGGTCTTTAAGAAACCACTAGACAAATCGCTGACTGTATTCTGAATTCTACGTTAAATCCAAAGTATTTTAGCTTGAAGCTAAAGAGCCCCAAGCGTTCTAACCTTTCTTCATAGGGAAAGCGTTCCAACCCTTTTATCATTCTAGTTGCCCTTTTCTGTACTTTTTTCCAGTGCTATAATATCCTTTTTGAGGTGTGGTGACCAGAACGGTACACAGTATTGACATCTAGGACTCGCTTTATCTGAACCCTAGAAAAGTTTGTGCCACAACAAATGTTGGTCTTTAAGAAACCACTAGACTCTGTGTCACTTTGTTTCAGGTGGGTAGCTCTGTTGTTGGTCTGCAGTAGAATAATGAATTCAAGTCCAGCAGCACTGTAGAGGCCAACAAGATTTCCAGGGTATACGTAGGATTGCCCACCTCTGATAGCACCTGGCAGTCTCCCGTTACTACTATTGACTCCAGACGACCAAGATTAGTTCGCCTGGAGAAAATGGCTGCTTTGAAGGATGGATTTTATGGCATTATATCTTGCCGACATCCCTCCCCTCCCCAAACTTGGCTCCACCCCCAAAAACTCCTGGTAGTTCAGAGCTGGCAACCCGAGGTATAGGTTTTCAAGAATATACCTCCCTTCACCATTTGGTTACATCAAATCTAACATAGCTGCTCCAAGGAACACCCCACACCCCGTAAAACAGTGAGTGAGCGAGCTTTTGAGTTCCCCAGAATTCTTCCTCTAGCTGGGTGGTGGTGGAAGCGGAATAAAAGATGTCTTTGGGGTTGATCCATCTTTCTTTTTTAAAAAAAGTAACTTCTGAAGAGGTCGCAGCTTTAGGACCAGCAACCAACAAAGTTTTATTCTGGGTATAAGCGCATGTACACGAAAGCTTATACCCAGAATAATATTTGTTGGTCTTAAAGGTGCCATTGGACTCGAGATTTTGTTCTGTTGCTTCAGACCAGCACAGCTACCTGCCTGAATCTATCTTCTGAAGAAGAATTTTGTGCAACCATAAAGCTTAAGCTGCGGTGGCTCAAGTGGTTAAGATGCTGAACTGCAGGCTGTGGAAGGTCGGTAGTTGAGCGGTTGGAGTCTCTAGTTCCAGCTCCTGCCAACCTAGCAGTTCGAAAGCAAGAAATTGCAAGTAGATAAATAGGTACCACTTCAGTGGGAAGGTAACAGCGTTCTGTGCGCCTTGGTGTTTAGTCATGCCGGCCACATGACCACGGAAACGTCTTCGGACAGCGCTGGCTCTTCGGCTTTGAAAGGGAGATGAGCATAGCAACTCTAGAGTCGGATTCGACTGGCTTTCGAGCAAGGGGACCTTTACCTTTTTAAAGCTTACTCGCTTCGCCTTTTTAAAAAACACTTGCCTTGGCTCTAAGGAAAGCGTTAATATAAGCCTACTCTGGTGAACCGTCCTTAAAGGACAGCTTTGCTTATAAACATATCTGGGCTTGCTGGGAATTGTAGTTCCTTCCACCTCCGCGCACGCACCTCCCCATAGCCCTAAAGCCATGTGATTTACAGGTTTGGGTCTGTGATTGGCCAAACGGGGGATTATGGGGCGGGCATACAGCTGCTGTCTTAATTGGAAGAGCCGCTGCAGGCAGGCGGATGGCTGTGCGCTGCCTGCTCAATGAGAGCAGAGGAGCGCTCCAGAGATGGTTGCCCGCTCTTGGGGGACGAGACGGGGCTAACTTCGGCCGCCGCCGCGGGGTTGTCAACTGCAGCCGCCCTGCGAGGAGAGCCTCTGGGGAGACCCGGGTGAGGGAAGCCCCGCGAATGGCTGCCTGGTCGCTTGTGCGCTTTGCTCGGTGACTCCGAGGCGCGTTTGGCAGTTTAATCTGTGCCATTTCCTCCTTGGCCCGCTGAGGATCTCCTGTCGCCCAGGGCTGCCACCGTCCAGCCGTTGGGTGCCTCCTCCCCCATTCCGCAAGGAAGGCGGAGAGAAAGCGCGTTGCTAATCTGTAGGATGCCATATGGTGGACTGGTTTGTGCAGGGGATTCCGAAACTGAAAGGAGGCTTGACGCAAAACAATCCAGAATTGTGGCAGGGGGCGGTGTTCCCGGACAGTGCTGGATTTGTTGCAATAAAAAAATGACTTTGTGGCATCATGAACTTTGGTGAGAGGGCTTTGCTCTTTGAAGCTCGCTAAGCTCTGAAAAGGCACAAAACTCGTATTGGTTTTGTTGTTGTTGCTGGGATGTAACTCTTGAAACAATAGGTTTTATGAACTTGGGTTATTAGGTGTGATGCTTTGGTTGTTCATTTTGGTGGTTTCCTCTAACAGTAGCCTCCTGGTCTTGCAGAGTGTTGTTTGGCTCCTTGGTTTTCCGTATCCGAGCCCCCACCCCCAAATCTGGCTTGTGTACTATTCCCCCCCTCCCCACTATTCTGCCCTGGCTGACTTTACCATTACACCCCTTTGTCCTTCAGTTGCACAGAAAAGGTATAAGGCCTAATCTATGGCAGGTACAGATACCAGTGAACTGTGACTGTTAAGAGTGGGACCTGCACTTAGTATGCCTGTGTGTGTGTGTGCCTTCGGGGGTGAGCGGGGTACAAATTGAAAGTATAAAATAAATAAATAAATAAATGTAGAGTCCAGTGGCACCTTTAAGGCCAACAAAGGTTTATTCGAGGTATGAGCTTCTGTGTGCAAAGCACACTTTTTCAAGTACAGTGGAATGGGAGGTAAGGTTCAAATTTATAGATGGGCTGAACGGTGTGCCTGTACCATGTGCCAAAACGTCAGGAAAGGGCTACTGCCCTTTTGGACTGCTTGTGAGGTTTCATGGCCCTGAAGAACATAATTTCATGGACCTTTGGCCTGATAAGGGCTTGAGTATTTACTGGTATTGCAGTTTCTTCCCTCGCAACTACCAATGCAGTGTTACTTTAGTTTAAGCCTGTTTGGTTTCAATAGATTCAGGTGGGTAGGCATGTTGGTCTGCAGCAACAGAACAAAGTTTGAGTCCAGTGGCACCTTTACAACCAGCAAAGTTTAATTCCGGGTATAAGCTTCGGTTCCCACAATTAAACTTTGTTGGTCTTAAAGGTGCCACCGAACTCAAACTTTGTTCTGTGGTTTCAAATAGGCTTAGACTGGAGTAACTCTGTATAAGATTAGTACATTAGAAGAAGAGTTGGTGTTTATAGCCTGCATTTCACTACCCAAAGGTGTCTCAGAGCAGCTTACAATCCCCCTTCCTCTCCCCACAACAGACACCCTGTGAGGTAGGTGGTGCTGAGAGCCCTGAGAGAACTGCTTTTGAGAGAACAGCTCTGAGAGGACTGTGACTGACCCAAGGTCACCCAGGTGGCTGCATGTGGAGGAGAGTGGAGAATCAAACCCGGTTCTCCAGATTAGAGTCTGCCCTCTTAACCCCTACACCAGACTGGCTCTCTTAGATGAAGACTCTTCTGAATAAGTATGGTGTAGTACTAGAGTGCTGGATTGGGACCTGGGAGACTCAGATTTGAATCCCCACTCTTCCGTGGAAGCTTGCTGGGTGACCTTGGGCCAGTTACGCAGTTAACCTCCTTTGCAAAGTTGTTGTGAGGATAAAATGGAGGAGAAGAGACTGATGTAAGCGGCTTTGGATCCTCATTGGTTAGAAAGGCGGGGTATCAATGAAGTAAATAAATAAGTAAATGCATGTTGTGACTCTGTCTCTACCCAAGCTTACAAAGGGAGTCCTGTCCGACCCAGCCAAGTAGAGAATATGCAATTTCTCCTTGTGACACAACCAAAATAAACTCTAGGTCTGTGCTGTAAAGCAAAATTAAATCTAATGTCTCTAAAATCTAATTTAGGATATTTATTATCTTGATTTCCTTCTTTTTTTCCTTATTCCACACTGTTTAGTTCTTTCCCCCTTCTCCGAGAAGACATCAATCTCTCTGCAAGGCAGCCAGTGTGGTGTAGTGGTTAGAGTGTTAGACTAGGATCTGGAAGAACCAGGGAAACTTGCTGGATCACCTTGGACCGGCCAGACTTGTACACACTAAATCCAGTCTATTTCTCAGGGTTGTGGTGAGGATAAAACAGAAGAGGAGAACAATGTAAACCACTTTGGGTCCCTACTGGGGAGAAAAGGCGGGGTATACGTGAAGTAAATAATAAATGCGTGTGACCATATATGGGGAATTGAAGGAAACCCCCGGATAGAGGGTTTTATGCTGGGTGCATTGCCAGTTGCTGCAGATCAGCTACTCAGAGAGAGTGTGTCTTGTGGATCGGTTCCAGACCAAATGGGCTAACATCGTCCAGTTATTTGGCAATAGTGCCAGACTCCCATATTACTTAATACCAGTTTGGCTCTTGCTCTGTGCCACCCCGCCTCCATTTCCAAGTTACTGTTAAGAGTTTCATCTGTGCAAAGTTCTCTCTTTTTTGAGAGAGGGTCATGCGTCCATGTCCTGAGCAGGGCCTTCCCAAAGGCTGCTCTACGGTTGTAGGATTCTTAATTTTTTGAAATCCCCGGAGGGATATTTTTTATTATTTTTTTATAAGACTACAAAACTACAAAGAAAATATAAGGGGAGGGGATTACATCTAAGGATAAAGGATAGATAACCACACTACACTAAAAACCCCAGAGGAGGAGATCATATCCATGTTAATCTAAGTGTTATTAATAAAAGTGTTAGTAAAACAATATACTTGTAGAGTTCTTGTTTGTCTCGGCTTCAATGTTAGTATATTAGTTATTGTGAGAGAACTTTCTGAGCATCTTCTTGTTATTTGCTTCAAAAGGCCATTTTCAGAGTCCTTCTGCCTTTACTTCGGTTTTCTGTCTCTGAAATCATATGTAGCTTTCATTGTGCCTGCTCCCGTTACTGCAGCAGAGTCGTCATCCGTTCCAGAGGTAGCGGAGTCACTTGATTTCGATTCTTCATCTTTGGATTCTTCCTCAGATTCCAACTGGCGTCTCAGAAATTCTTTGGCTTTAAAAATGGAGTCAATCTTTTCTCTTTTGTCGTTGATTTTAAAGATGATACCCTCTGGAATCGCCCATCTGTACGAAATTCCATTGGCTTGAAGAAAAGAAATTAAGTCCTTATAGCTTTTCCTCTTTTGACAAATTTCAAATGGAATGTCTTTTAAAGTGTTATTGTTTATATTACCCATTTTCAGTGGAGTTGCTGAAGTAGTTTTTAAAATAGCATCTCTGGTCTGTCTTCTTGAGAATCTGACCACAATTTCTCTAGGTAGGCAATTTTTTTTAATATAGTTGGAGTATGCCCTATAAGCAGTCTCCATCTCTTTTACTACTTCATCCGCTGTTGAGCCTATTGCTGGAGCAATGATCTCGCTGAGCAGCTTCCTCAGATCCTCCTTCATTGATTCAGGAACTCCCTGGAATCTGAGAATCATGTTGGCTTTTTCCATTTGTAGCTGTAACAAACGGTTTTCTTGGAAGTTTTGTTTTGCTTCAACTTCCCCCATTCTTTTCTTCATTTTCTTGTTTGTGGTGTCTATTTCTTTCATTCTCTCAGTCGTATGCGCCACCTTCTTCGCCGTTTCTGCCAGTTGGAGCTGCTGGGACACGAAATTCTGATTCAGAGAAGTCAGTTGCTGGTTAATACCATCGAGTTGCTCCATCACCGGCTTAAGCATATCCGCTAACATTTTCATGACGTCTGCTCCCTCTTCCGGGTTTGGGCTCTTACTACCCGCCGGTTTAACTTTAAACTTTCTTTGAGAGGCTGCCATTTTATACGATTGTTTACCATTTCAAACCGCTTCTCTTGGACTCGAAAAATCACCACGTCGATGTCAGCGCTCAAGTAAGTCTCTCAAACAAAATCGCTGCTTATTTCCCCCCCTGCCCCCTTCCGATCTGTGGATCAGCGATGGCGGTCGTTCTCCCTGGACCTCGGGGGAGCGACTCGCACACCAGCGGTACAGAGGGGTGCTAGCTCAAGTAGTACTCACACGGAGCCTTTGTGATAGGCTCCAGGCCATAGGGCTTTTGAGGGGTAGCCTCTTCGACGGCTAAATGCCGGAGAATTGAGGCTCCCCTTCGCTCTGATGGTCCTGCCGCTGCGTGGCCCTTGGGCACAAGCTGATTCGACTGGGACAAGCGCAGGAGATCGAGCGGAATATTGATCATTGTGAGCGAGGTCAAAGAAATGACCGACAATGAACATGAGTTCAAAATAAATGTATGTTTTAAAAGTGAACTACCCCCCCATGGGAAAAACAGAGCGCAAAGAGGTTGTAGAATTCTTGTTATCAGGAGTTTAGGGAATGTATCTTACTTCCTGGCCTTTAGAAAGTGGAGTAAAGTCTTCTTGTCTGGCAAGGCCTTGCGGCAATTTGTACTATTAGTTTCCTACTTTTCAGGTTTTAAGGGATGTTCTTGTGACCTGCCTTGAGCTTGTATGGAAAATGGGATGGAAGTGGTTTGAACAAAAAAGAATGGAAAGTGTTCACACCATTGTTTTGTTGCCTTACTAAAGGTAATATCTCAGCCTTAATGTGCCTCAACGGTAATATTGCATAGTCTAATTCCCTTAAATCTTTGTCCATCACAGACTTCCTCACCCACTTTTGGGTTCCTCTTTGATATCGACGGAGTGCTTCTCCGGGGACAGTATGTGATTCCTGCCGCCAAGAAAGCCTTCCAGAAACTCACAGATTCCACAGGCCAGTTCTGTGTGCCAGTTGCCTTTGTCACCAATGCTGGGAACTGTTCTCGTGATGGCAAGGCCGAAGAGCTGTCCAACGCTCTGGGATTTAAGGTAGGATGACTATTTGTGTTACCCTGGGCCACCTGCTGGTAGATCTAGGCTGTAAGACTAGAATTCTACAGTTGCTCTTAAAAAAAATTGTGTGGGATCCTCACAAAAGTCGAACGAGCTTGGAGCCTTTCCATGCAATTGGATTTTAGTACAAATACAAAAACAGTTTGTATCAGTTTGTTGTTGTGCAGTCCAGATGTTTTCAAAGGAAGTGCTTCTGTGGTGAATATACAACTTTTCTTGGCTCTGAACAGGCTCGTAGACAAATATGCGGTTCTTCTCACAGTGTGCGCGCATCATTATTGTGATTAGCATGGCAAAAAGCTCTTCCATTCGCAGAATAGATTCAGGTGGGTAGCCATGTTAGTCTGAAGCAGCAGAACAAAGTTTTGAGTCCAGTGGCACCTTTCAGACCAAAAAAAGTTTAATTCTGGGTATGAGCTTTCGTGTGTATTTGATGAAATGGGCATGCACACGCAGGCTTATACCGAGAATTAAACGTTGTTGGTCTTCAAGGTCTCCCATCCAAATAGTTGAATTCAACTCAGTGTGTGTGAGATATCATTCACGTATGAAGGTGCTTTGGCAGTTGAAGAAGAAGAGATTGGATTTATACCCCGCCCTTCACTACCTGAAGGAGTCTCAGAGCGGCTTACAAACTCCTTCCCCTCCCCACACCAAACACCTCGTGAGGTAGGTGGGGCTGAGAGAGCTCTCCCGAGAATTGTCCTTGAGAGAACAGCTGTGAGAGAACTCGTGACTGACCCAAGGTCACACCAGCAGCTGAATGTGGAGGAGTGGGGAATCAAACCCGGTTCTCCTAGATTAGAGTCCGCGCTCCTAACCACTGCACCAAACTGACTGGGAACCCCTTTGGTATCGCGGTTGGAGTGTCAGACTGGGATCTGGGAGGCCCGGGTTGGAATCCCCACTCTGTCTTGAAAAGTTTGCTGCGTGACCTATCTCACAGCCTATCCCCATAACATGGAGGAGAGGAGAAGGATATAAGCTGTTTGGAGTCCCCATTGGGTATTGTGGTAGAGTAATGTAATGATCCTTGGATAGCTAAAGATATTAGATATTTCCGGGTTGGGCCCTGTTCATAATATCTGCTGATCGCTTGACGTTTTGATCACCATGTGATTGTTTTTGCAATGCATTTACTGCATTTACTGAGGGACTTCATTCCTGTCTTCCCTGACTCTGACCTAAGTAACAGTTGCCTTTTTTTTTCCCCTGAGAGGAGGAGAGCAAGAGCAGAGGAGGAGGGAGGGACAGGAGAGAGGAAGAGGTCTAATGGGGAAACTGCAGGAGAGACAGGCCTGTGAGAGCCACAAGGGCACCAGTGGGGCTTGTGGAAGTTGAAACAGGTTATTTATTTATATTTATTTAATTTCTACCGTGCCCTCCCCGTCATGGCAGGCTCAGGGTGGCTTACATGGAATAATAAGCCGCTAAAACAAATATAGATGAAATCATAAACAGTATAAATATAAAAGCATTACAAAGTGCTAGTGCCAGATGGTTCATATACGTTGGTGAACGTAAACAGCATCTGACACAAACAATCAGCTACCATCGTAGTCTGGGTTATGCAGGCTGTTAATAATGATGTTAATATTGATGTTAATGCTGATGTTAACATTGGGGCCAGGGCCTCAGTTTGTACGATGCGGCTTCCTAGTTGAAGGCCTGGTGGAAGAGCTCTGTCTTACAGGCCCTGTGGAATTGTAAAAGGTCCTGCAGGGCCCTGATGTTTTCCGGGAGCTCATTCCACCAGTGCAGAGCCGCCACTGAAAAGGCCCTGGCCCTCATCACAGCCAGCCTGGCTTCTCTGGGGCCTGGCAGAGCCAGATGATTTGGGTACCCCGATCGTAGTGCTCTCTGGGGAACATGTGGGGAAAGGCGATCCCTTAGGTATGTAGGTCCCTGAGAATGTGGACTTCTCCTGTCAGACTGAAGCCCCAGGTAGAGACTAATGTTGACCGTGCTTAGACAATCCTGGGAAGAAGAGCCTAGCACCTAGGAGGACATTGGTAAAGCTTGACTGGCAAACATAAAAGTTAAAGACTTATCTTTGGAACCCAGTTATTACTTCCCACCCTTTCTCAGTTGAAGCTTCCCTGTTTACTTGCCTCATTAAAGTTCTTTTGTTGCTGTTAACTACACAGTTGCTGGAACCCACCAGGGTTGGTAACAGACGTGCCAGCCCTGAAGAGCCTTCCGCACTTGCCTCGAAGCCTATTTGACCAGACACACTACTAATTTGTAGTGGTATTTTATTTTCATGATGTGAAGTTTCCACTGATTGCACATCAAGTGGCTTATACAGAGCACTGGTGTCAAGGCATCCTTTTGAGCACAGCAGTTCACATGCTCATGAATGTGTAATGAGCTGCTTTGAGTTTTGTGTATGAACTGGACGGTACACGGCAACGGATTGTGTGTCCATGCATCACTCATGCAGTCATATTTCTTAACTTCAGTGTGTGGCTGTGCTCAAGCAAAAATGGGACCACTGCCATATTATATGTTGACGTGTACCTAGCCAGGTTGACTTCCAAGCTACATTTCTGGATCTAAAAATCTGAGTGAAGAACAGGTTTTGAGTGGTCTTGTGGGAATGAGTTATCTGAATGTCACCCATGTCCGTCTTGTTGAGGATCCTGGAGAGTGCAGCTGGGATTATTGCATGTGGGAAAGGAGGACACTCAACCTGCTGACTTCTTCTCTCTTCCAGATTTCTCCCGAACGGGTGATCCTCTGTCACAGCCCTTTGCGCCTTTTCCACAAGTTCCATGACAAATGCATGCTGGTGTCTGGCCAGGGCCCCGTGGCACAGAATGCCAGGGAGTATCCTTTGCTGCTTCGAAAGAGTATCTCCATAGACATATATTTTTTGCCTTGTCACATCTGATTTATGGCGACCCCCAGTAGGGTTTTCAAGGCAAAAGACCTCAGAGGTGATTCGCCATTGCCTGCCTCTGCATAGCGACCCTGGACTTGCTTGGTGGTCTCCCATCCAAATACTGGCCAGGACCGACCCTGCTTAGCTTCTGAGATCAGGCTAGCTAGCAAGTGTATGTAAAATCAATATTGCAGTAGATATGAGGCTTGGCATAGTTTTCCTGTTAACTGTACTTACTGAACTAACGTCATTGCAGTAGGCATCCTCAGAAGCAGAAGTGTATGATCTAACAGATGTGGAGTTGACTAGGAGTGAGGCAGCCTGGGCTCACCAAGTGACCTTGGCCTAACCTACTGCACAGAGTTGTTGCAAATGCAAGGGTATAATGGGATAACTGTGTGCTGTTCTGAGCTCCTCAGAGAAATAGTTGGGTGTAACTGTGAGAACTGATAAAGTTTTTATTTTGACATGCTGTGATAAAGTCACAGCCCAACTTCTGGGGAATGGCTGATTGGACTGAAACCAGTCTAGATAATGAAAAGAGCTGAAGAGGCTTCCCCAGGCCACTACATCTCAGCTCGCTCTTGAAGAGTTTATGGTAATTTTTAACTTAGGTCTCAAAGTGGCTTTTCACATGAAGCTGCCTTATTTTGAGTCCGCCCCTTGGTCCATCAAGGCCAGCTCTCCAGGGTCTCACATGGAGGTCTTTTCACAGCACCTATTGCTTGGTTCTTTTAACTGAAGATGCTGGGGATTGAACCTGAGTCCTACGGCATGCAAAGCAGAGGCTCTTCCGCTCAGTCGCAGCCCCTCCCCCTCTTCCACTTAATCCTCACCACAGCAACTTTTTGAGGGTAGGTTAGGCTGAGAGATGATGGGCCCGAGGTTACCTGGCAGGCTTCCATGGTAGAGCAGGGGATCTGAACTCAGTTGTCTCAGTGTGATGTAATGGTTAAGAGTGGTGGACTCTAATCTGGAGAACTGGGTTCAGTTCCACACTCCTCCACATGAAGCCAGCTGGGTGACGTTGGGGCAGTCACAGTTTCCTTCGAACTCTCTCAGCCCAGAAAATAAGTCTAGGTCGCCACCTAGTGGTGCATAATGCTAAAAAGAGCTGGTACTTCAGGCAGCCAGACAATCTTAGGTTCTCCTGGCTATACCACACACAATGCCATATGATGAGGATGACGAGGAGGAAGAGGATGAGGAAATTGTCCTAGGTGCTTGTCCGGCACTCTGACCATTACACCACACCAGCTGGGTGACGTTGGGGCAGTCACAGTTTCCTTCGAACTCTCTCAGCCCAGAAAATAAGTCTAGGTCGCCACCTAGTGGTGCATAATGCTAAAAAGAGCTGGTACTTCAGGCAGCCAGACAATCTTAGGTTCTCCTGGCTATACCACACACAATGCCATATGATGACGAGGAGGATGAGGAAGAGGAAATTGTCCTAGGTGCTTGTCTGGTATTCTGACCATTACACCACACAGCCTTCAGAGGCACTGATTGATTGGGGTATTATAGAATAAAATACTCGGGCTTTGCTCACTCATAAGAATATAGGAATGTTAATGGTACATCCATGTGACTTAGTTGAACTGTGCTTACACGTGGTGTCCAACCATCGCTATTACTAGAAATAAATGGAAGGCAGATTCTAGAAAACTGGATTCTACATGTACTGAGGGCATGAAGTGAATCCCAATGTGGAAAGGCTGTTCCCACAGGTTCTAAGGAGGTGAAATTTGATACACATATAGGCTAATACCCCCGAGGTATATTCATATGTGAGTATATTCACGTGTTGGTCTGAAGCAGGAGAACAAAGATTGAGTCTAGTGGCACCTTTAAGACCAACAAAGTACACACAAAAGCTTATACCTTGAATAAAACTTCGTTGGTCTTAAAGGTGCCACTAGACTCAAACTTTGTTCTATCCCCTAGGTATGTTAGTTATTAGAAAAGCTTTAAATTCACAACAGAGAACCATAATCCAGGGAGCTGCTATTTGTGGTCTGGAATGTCGGTTTGTGGTGGCTCCATTATCCCTTCAGACAGCTGAATCAGACTGGGGAGAGTGTATATGTGTATTTCCACTAGCAGTGAGGAACATAAGTGAATTGACCGATATAATCGGGCCATGCCTTCTGCGCTGTCTTTGACTGCCTGTGGGTGATAGAGAAGTGGCCTTTTAGAAGATGTGATTGCAGCCTCAGTTATTTTAATGGGCTTCTGCTACAAGGTGCTTTATTTTCTGAATATTTCTCTAAGCCAAAAGGGAGCAGGTTGTTTTCTTCCTTGACCATCTAAAATAGCCTGGGATTCCGGCGCATTGTTACCACTGAAGACGTAAGGAAGGCGTTTCCTTTGCTTGATATGGTTGATCAAAGCCGAAGGCCAAAAGAACTGGCAAGTATCAATCTGACTGTAATATCCATGTATGGGTGACCACTGGGGGCATCTCACTGGCTTGGTAGAATTAAATATTCTGCTGGCAGCTTTCAGCTGACCTAGTTTGTTGTTAGGGTACATCACAGCAAACGCATTCATGTCATCTTTACCTAGATGGCTAGAACTATAATGAGTGAAATCTTTGTCCCGTGTGCCCTTGGTTTCTACAGTCACGCATATCAGAAAGTCAAGGTCACGAGTAAGCGGAGTAAAAAAATTCCTCTTCCAAAGATTCTTTGGCCATGCTAGATTTCTTACAAAACCAATTTTCCCTAAGGCTTTGCACTTGGAAACCAAGAATCACGCCTTGCTGTTGAAAAATCTTAGCCTATTCTGTTGGATGCTGTGAAATGACAAACTTTTCTCTCTCTCCTTCCTTTCAACCAGCCTCCTCCCACCACTGATTTCCCCACCATAGAGGGTAAGAGATTGTTTTGTCGTCTTTGAATTTTCCTTTAGGTGCAGGCTAGCGGAACAGATTCCTTGTGAAATCAGCCAGCATGGATGGTCCTTGTGAAATCATCACCTTTCTGTTTACGAGGAAGTAAATGTATTAACTCTATGAATTGCTCCAAACCAATATTTTCTACAGTAACAGACATGAAAGAGGCAAGGAAGCGGTTGTGGGGACGATTCGTAGTTAACACACTTGCACCTGGTTTTCTATTGAAAATCCTTGAATTATTCTGCCCCCCCCCCCATCAGAGTTTTCTTGTTTTGGAGCCCAGTTGGATGTGGGGAGATATTTATAGGGGAGAACTGGTGGGTAAATGAAAGGTTACACACACCCTTTGTTTCTGCTGATTCTCTCTGGCAAACATCCCTGCAGTAGCAGAATATCCCTTGGTATATTTTTGCCTTTCCTGGCAAATGTCTACAGTGGCATCCCCAACACGGTGCCTGTGGGTGCCTGGACGCCCGCTGACACCTTTCCTGCTGCCTGCCCAAGTGTTTTTAGAAGAAGGCGCTTTTGCCCAGCAGGGCTTCTGATTGGCCCCTGGAGATCTGGTTGGCTGTTCAGTTTTTTTTTAAAGTTGCTTTGGCAGCAGCTGCCCCCACGGCACAAGGATCTTCGCTGCGTGACTGAGGGTAAACTGCGTGTATGCAAGAAAATGTTTCTTAGAAGTCTGTTCATTTTAAAAGGCGCTCTGTTAAAAACAGTTTCTTCCTGTTGGAGAGCCAGTTTGGTGTAGTGGTTAAGTGTGCGGACTCTAATCTGGGACTACCGGGTTTGATTCCCCACTCCTCCACTTGCACCTGCTGATGTGACCTTGGTTCAGTCACATGCTCTGGCACAGCTGTCCTTGAAAAAGAGCCGTTTGTGTCAGAGCTCTCTCAGCCCCACCCACCTCACAGGGTGTCTGTTGTGGGGAGGGGAAGGGAAAGGAGTTTGTAAGCCGCTCTGAGACTCCCAAGTGAAGGGCGGGGTATAAATCCAATCTCTTCTCTTCTTCGTCTCTTCCTGGAATATTAGTCATGCACGACCTCACTTCCTGGCGTTTTGTGGTTGGCTCTGCCTCCCGCGGCAGCCATTTTGTGGTTGTGCCCACCACCATGTGTCAGGATTCCAAAGGGGCCTGCAGGGTCAAAGAGGTGGGGACCAATGTTCCCTCTAAGCTGTGGAGTCTTGTGAGCAAAAATTCTACTTTGTGAGCTACTGGCATTAAAGTTACGAGTGAGCAAAAATTCTACTGCCATCCTTCCTGAGCTAAGACAAAAATGTGTGAGCTGGAGGCTAAAAAACTGAGAGCTAGCTCACACTAACTCAGCTTAGAGGGAACACTGGTGGGGACCCTGGTCTGCATGGGGTGGGAGTGCATAAGGAGGGGCCAGCATCGTCTGTTCTCACTAAGACTTTGCTTCCATTATCCCAGGGCTGAATGTACATGGTGATCTGTAACCATTGCCATGTGGTTTCAGGCCAGTCCAGCAGAGGTTCATAGTACTTTCCATATGATCCTGTCCCACAGTGCCCGACAAAAACTGAGGGTGGGATGGCACCAATACATGGAAGACAAAATGTTATGCCAATTCCTATAGAGAATATGTAGAATAACATCTTCGGTAGAACTGTATATATTGAAAATCCACTATGCAATTGTAGATTGTGTGAACAGGCATGTTTGTAATAATCTATGTAACCAAAGCTTTTTGAAAGAGACTAATCCTCATTGTGTGGGAGGGAGGAGAAATGGAGTCACCTTCTCCACCCAGGAATGTTGATCTGAACTCTTTGGTCTCACCCATGCTTGGTGCATCCATATATATCTAGTAGATAGAAGGCAGCCTCCTTTGAGGTGTTACATATATGGGTTAATTTGTGTCCTTGAATGCAACCAGTGGAACTGGATCACTTACAATGAAACTCCTCAGAAATGTTGACTTTCCAAACTGATGGATGTACTTTGACAGCCCAAACAACTGTGGCAAGTTTATGTGAACTGGAGCCTGCTAGATGAGGTAAATGCGAATATTGGTCCCTTTCCCAAGAGAAGCACACTGTCTGTGGTAGGTATGATTATTCCGTCATATAAAACATCTTGTTCTAAACATTCCCTGTATTTATAATACACATTTCAGGGGTAATCCTGTTCGGGGAGCCAATCCGGTGGGAAACTTGCCTGCAGCTGATTATTGACGTGCTCCTGAGCAATGGGAACCCAGGGGCCGAGCTCTCTGCTGTGCCATACCCACATCTGCCTGTCCTGGCCTGCAACATGGATCTCTTGTGGATGGCGGAAGCCAAAATGCCAAGGTGATGTAAATGTTCTTTGGGGGGGATCTCCATCCTTTCAAATCTATAACAGACTCATGGAGGATAGGTCTATCCATGGCTGCTAGCCATGATTAAATAAAAACTCCACATTCAGGGGCAGTAAACCCGTGAATCCCAGGGCCAGGAGGTTACATCAGAGAAGGCCTTGACCTCTATGCCCTGTTGTTGGCCCTCCAGAGAAACTGGTTGGCTACTCCAGGTAGTCAAAGGAGAAACCTTGCTGAGGCACATTAATTTAAGCTAATTATGGTTTCAGAGTGTGGTCTGAATTTTCTTTAATGTGTTCAGATACTAACTGGCTTTTACTGACTAGCCACTAGAGTGGATCCTCTCACACACTTATGATTGAAGCCACACTAGCCCGCTCTTTCCCAAGAGCCAGACTAAATGGTATGAGGTCTACTCATCACCAGAGACAGGCTTTAAAAAATGGGTACTCTGTCCTCTGACAAGAAGAGAGCCAATTTGTTGTAGTACTTAAGAGCGACGGACTCTAATCTGGAGAACGGGTTTGATTCCCCACTCCTCCACATGCAGTTAGCTGGGTGACCTTGGGACAGTCACAGTTCTCAGCTGTTCTCTCAAGAGCAGTTTTCCCAGAGCTCTTTCAGACCCACCTACCTCACAGGGTGTCTGTTGTGGGGAGAAGGGAAGGAGATTGTAAGCCACTCTGATTCTTCGAGTGAAGGGTGGTGTATAAACCCAATCTCTTCTTTTCCACTCCCAGACGTAGAGCTAAGGCACTCTGCAAGGCTACCAGGCAGAGCTACCCTTCCAACTGTCTGTTGTCTTGCTGAGCCAGACCTCATTCTATGACTGCACTCTTTCTGCAGCAGACTCAAACTATTTCTTCTTCTGCCTCCCTCCCAACATTCCATCCTCCCTCCTATGAAAGAAGAAGAAGAGATTGGATTTCTACCCTGCCCTTCACTACCCAAGGGAGTCTCAGAGCGGCTTACAAACTCCTTTCCCTTCCCCTCCCCACAACAGACACCCTGTGAGGTAGGTGGGGCTGAGAGAGCTCTGACAGGAACTGCTCTTTTTCAAGAACAGCACTGAGAGAACTATGGCTTGCCCCAGGTCATCCAGCAGGTGCAAGTGGAGGAGTGGGGAATCAAACCCAGTTCTCCCCGATTAGAGGCTGCGCCCTTAACCACTACACCAAGCTGGCTCTGGTGATTGGAAGCTGGAGCAGCCCTCCCATAGGTTCAGCTGAGTGGCTGTTCTTCCCTTTGGGGGCAAGACAGCTTCCTGTCAATCACAGGGTCCCAAAGTGCTTTACATCATTCTCCTCACTACAGCCTTGTGAGGTACAGAGTGTATGGCTCAAGCTTCCATGGCAGAGTGGGGGTTTGAATCTGGGTCTCTCAGATCCAGCCACTAGACCACACTGGCTCTTTGCAAGTGGATCGTAATGGAGTTCTCGTTCTCTTGGCTGTGTTAACAACGCTACATGATGGGTGGCAGGTTCTAGTGTTCCGGTGAGGTGTGTAATGCCCGTGGTGGTCTTTCCTGGTCAGATTTGGCCATGGCACTTTCCTTATGTGCCTGGAGAGCATCTACAAGAAAATGACGGGCAAGGAGCTGAAGTACGAGGCCCTGATTGGCAAGCCCAGCACCGTCACTTACCGCTATGCTGAACACATTATCAAGCAGCAGATGGAGAGTCGTGGCTGGGTGTCTCCTCTGCGCCATCTGTATGCCGTTGGGTAAGCAGCCTCTTTTTCTTGAGCAGGAAAGAGGAAGACTTTGGCCGTAGTTGCTGAGCACCAACATGGCGAAGGGTTTAAAGGTTTATATCCCTTATCGGGTGGCTGAGGTTAGTTTGATCTCATCAGATCTTGGAAGCTAAGCAGAGTTGGCCCTGGTTCGTATGTGGGTGGGAGACCACTAGGGAAGTCCAGGGTTGCTTTGCAGAAGCAGGATTGCTATGCAGAGCAAACCACCTCTGTTCATCTCTTGCCTTGAAAACCCCTTGAGGGGTTCTCGTACGTTGATGCAACTTGACGGCACTTTCCACCACCAACTTCTAGGGTTGTCAGTTTTTACTTTTAAGAGGAAGTTGGAATAAGGCAGCGGTCCCCAGTGTGGTGACCGTGGGCATTGTGGCACCTGCTGAAACACTTTTTGGTGCCCGCCAAGTGTTCTCAGGAAATGAGCAGGGCCAGGTGGGGCCTTTTCCCAGTAAGGCTTCTGATTGGCTGTGCAGATTTTTAAAAATGTTGCTTTGGCAGCAGCTGCCACCATAGGACAAAGATCTTAACTGAATAGCATTTTGGCGCTCACCACGCAGTGTCAGAATTCTAAAGGGGCCCACAGGCTCAAAAAGTTTGGGGACCCCTTGCAGTAAGGTGTCTCTTCTCCCATAAACAATAGAGTGATGAACAAAATGGCTCAGTGACTGGAAATCATTTAAGTAATCCTTACCTAGTCACTGGAAAGGAAGACTATTCCCCCCCCAGTTATGTACAGTGACTAACCCCCCGCTGTGTATAACCTTTTTTAGGGGATCATCTTACATTCAGGATTGTCTTCCTCTTGCTTAGATACAGTAGTAATGCTGTAATCTTGATCAACGCACACACTCCTTTTGTCCTTTTTATTATCTGATTGGCTTACTCACAGGGACAACCCAATGGCTGATGTTTACGGTGCAAACCTTTACAACCGTTACCTCCAAGCTCATGCTGAAGTAAATGTGACTGCGATGACCGCCGATACCCAGGGCAACGAATGCCCCGAGCTGAAGAAAGATTCTGCTGTCTCGCTCAGCTGCATGCCAAGCTGCCAGTCTATCCTGGTCTGCACTGGGGTTTACAATCACCATGGAGATGTGCCCGCTGACTGTAACGTGAGCATGACGGAGACGATATTCCACGGGCACCGGGACTTCCATTTTGACCCCAGCCTGGTAGAGGCTTCTCACATTGTGCGCGATGTGGATGATGCTGTAGAACTTGTCTTTCAGAAAGAGAACTGGAAAAGGGAGTGACGCACCCGCTGTTTGCAACTAACTTGGGGACGCGAGGATAGAGCTCAGTTTGTTCTTTAACCTGAGCCAAAGTAAAGGAAGATTCTGCACATTTCTTTTTTGTGGGATTGTAAAAAACAAAAAAAACCCCTGCCCTAACCCGGATAGCCCAGGCAAGCCCAATCTCATCAGATCTCGGAAGCTAAGCAGGGCGGACCCTGGCAAGTATTTGGATGGGAGACCTCCAAGGAATACCAGGGCCGGGACGTAGAGGCAGGCAATAGCAAGGCACCTCTCTGAAATGTCCGAGCCCCACTAGGGGTCGCCAGAAGTCAACCAGGCATGCACGTACACACACATACAAAACACTCACCAACAAAACAAAACCTGAACCCAGACCCTCATCTTAGTCAGGGAGAGACTCATTAGGGCACATACACTACCCGATTTGAAATCCCGGTATCCGTTACCTGATTAAAACCGCAGTTCTTTGCTAGGATAAGGTTCGGCAGTAGAAGGGATTAGTTTGTCTGGTTGCAAGAGCGAAGCCATTGCTCCTTGTGGTTTTTTTGTATCTTGGCTTTGTTCCCCAGTACAGTCAACTGACCACAGTCCTATGAACCCAGATTCTGGGGGAAATGGACTTATTCGCCTAAAGACAGTGTGAGGTCTTGGTGCCATTTCTATACCCCATCTAAGTATCTGTGACGTGTTTCTTGCGTGTGTGCTTTACCAGAGCTATCAAGCCCTTCCACAAAGATGGCATCATATTTTTGGGGTCTCTCTCTTCCAAAAGTGCCTGTAGGTACTTGTAGCATGCAAGTACTCAATTTATGTTTGAAGAATTGATTTATGAAACATCTCATACCTGAAAGCCATGCAGAGAACCTCTTACTAAAGCAGAACAAGCCATGGAGGGATTCCATTTCCACCACCACCCCTTGCCCACCTGCTGTCTGGCTTGCTTTTGTCTGCAGGGCCCAGCTAAACTCCCAGAGGGGAAATCTCACTTGCCTCCTTCTGCCCACCCCACCCCACACTCACTTGTTTGTTTGCCAGAATCCAGTCCTTCTTTTCTACCCTTCCTCCCAGTTGCCCACCTGCTGTGCTGCCACCTTGGAGGCAGTGACAGGAGGGTTTCCCATTCCTCCTCCTCCTCTTTCTCACCTGCAGCCTTGCTGCCTTCTGTGCTTATTCCTCCAGGTGGCCACCTGCCGTGCCTACCTGTTTGCATGTCTCTAGCATTACTTTCTTAGCTGCAGGTGGGGGGGCCCCCTGTAGCTTCACCTCCCTCACCTGCACTGATGCTGGGACACAGGTTTGCAAAATGCCCTCCTTTTGCTGTACATGGCCCTGATCTGCAGATTTAAGTATTTGCAAAAGTTTAAGTTGATTCTGCTTCATTGAACAAAGTGAAAGCAGGATAGCTGGTAGGTGTCATAAGCCTGCCCTCATGGCTGGCTGCTCCCCAACCTCTTATCTTGCCTTCCCTGAACCACTTATTTTGCATTATTGCCGGCTGTGTGCATCACTGTCCCTTCTGTTCTTCGGGTAGCTGTGTATCTTGGCAATGCTGAGCTTAGTGTGCAGGCATTGGACTGCTGGGGTGAGGTTCAGAGGCCGGTTTCTCTGGCGAAAACTGTCGTTATTCATTCTAAGTTGCGCATTTCAGGAGGGGGGAAAAGACATCCATTAAATCCTAAAACAAATGGATTTAGTCTCTTCCCAGAAGCAAATGTGTATGTGTATTCCTGCTTTGCTGCTTCTTCCTCAAATGGCAATGTTAACTCTGTCCAAAGCAAACCTTTTCCTTTGAAATAATGGGGTTCTAGCCAGGCCTGCAGTAATTCCAGATGGTGTTGTAGTATTCTTTTGCTTAGGGATGTGTGGGTACTTTGACAATTTCCCTTAGAAATCATGGGCCTAGATCCAGAGTCATGCATGTGGAGCAGTGATCAGGTACAAGATTACTGGATTGGCTAACTAGGAGATAACTTCTGTTCCTTATTAATGTATAAGCAGTGCCCCAAGTTCTCACCATTCTTAGGGCAGGGTGTGGTTACGTAATATGAGCAATATCCTCTCTTTCTTATGCCTGTGTAATACATTAAATGTTGTTGGTTGTCACGGGAATGTTTGAAGAATTGATTTATGAAACATCTTATACCTGAAAGCCACGCAGAGAACCTCTTTCTAGAGCAGAACAAGCCATGGAGGGATCCCATCCCCCCCCTTGCCCACCTGCTGTCTGACTTGCTTTTCGGGCCATAGCCATACGAGGGAAAACCATAGAGTTTTCCCTCGGATTGCCATGGTCCCGCCCCCAGCGTGCCTGGTGTGGTCGTGTCACTTCTGGGTGACGCGCACGTCAGGGTGGAGTTCCCCTGGGGGCCAGATCCGCCAGCAGTGGGGAATGGGCCTCTGGGGCGGGGAATTGGGGAAGCCTAGTCCGACTCTCATCTCTTCTTGCTACTCTGGTGTTGAATCCTTCTCAAGAAACAAGTTCCTCTTGCAGTGGAATCTGCAAGCTTGGTTCTTCATCTCCCATATTCTTTGTTTCCCATCCAGGCCTCAATAGGTTATCTATACTAGAGACGGTACCTTTTAGGCTTGACTTGTGAAAGGACTCATGTGTCTTTAAGGTCTGGCTGGTATGGAGTGTTAAACTTCCTGTTTTACAACGCTGACATGACTAATGTACTTAATAAAAAAATTCTTATGCTCTTTTCTTGGCAGGAAATCCTTTTGAAGCTGCTGGCAAAGGCTTGTTTTATAGCTATATAGTAAATCGTATACAGGAGAACTATCAGTTAGTATGTTGGGCTTGAAGTTGGGAAGAACTGGGTTCAAATCATCAGTTGGCCATGGGGTAGCCATTCTATTTCAGCCTAGCCTACCTCATTTTTTCTTTAATTTAAACGTTTAACTTTATTAAACATAAACATAACCAGACATTACAAATATAGCAGTTCACCAACTTTGTAACATTTTAAAACTTCAGTTAGTTTAGAACTTTCTTAATAGTACAGTGTCATAATCCAAATTCAAAAAGTACTATATTTGTTTACACTTAAACATAACATTGAGTAGCACAGTTTACAAAAAAGTAACAATTGTAACAAATCAATAGGAAAAACATTATTTGGTACTTTGTCTTTTGATACCATATAATCTAGCAATGGATACCAGATAGCTACAAAGTGAGAACTTTGTTTTAAGTTAGTAGTTTGGGTATTTTTATAAGCAATTTTCTCCATTACATAAAATTGCCAGATTTTGTCATACTATAAAGAAACTGATGGGGTTAGTTTATGTTTCCACTTAACTATTGAAGCTCTAGTTCATTTTTGAGAATAAAATGAGCAACGGGAGAACCACAGGTGCTGCCTTGGCTCAAGGTTGGGATAAAAATGTAATACTGGGATATAATACTTGGCCTGGGAATTTGCCAGGTCTGAGGCAATACCTCAAACCAGTTTGTTGTCCATATATTTGCATTTGGGGTGCGATACAGTGCCATACAATGAAATGTTAGTGCACTGTATATTGTATTGCATAGGAGATAGGCAAAGGTGTTTCTCCAAAGAAGCAGCATTATACCTTGTGCATGGAGAGAGAATTTATGTAGCACCTACATCCAAGTGCAGTGTAAAAATAGACAATGGATATTTGTACCTGCCAGCAGGCTTACAAAGACAGAGAAACAGGGAGGTGGAAAAATAGACAGCAGGGAAGACACACCAGGAGCTTGAATAAACGCAAGAGACCTTTGACACAACACACAAAAAAATAGTTTTTAAATGTTCTTTAAAGACTTGGAAGGAAGGGGTTCTATGAACAGTAGGCAAAACAAAATACCATGGAAAATAGGTGTACATTTCGATGCAATGCTGTATGTTTGCCCCAGTGATTCAATTAATGGATCCTGGGCTATTTCATGTTGGAAAACACTGGAGGGGGAAGCAGGCGTAACCCCCCCCCCCAATACTGTAGTCCTAATAAGAATTAAGCCTATATGATTTAAAACAAATGCTATGGGCTTTGTTCATAGAACTTTCAGGGTCATGAGTGGCTGAGCCTGGGACAGAGGGAACGAGTAAGAGATCATATTTAGGCCAGAAAGTGGCAAATGAGAAATAAATGTGGGCAGAAGCCTGCAGACAAAGTGTTGAAAGGGAATGCATGCTGAAGAAAGGAAGTTAGTGAAGAGAAATGGTGAACTGAAGCTGGAAGAATAAGGCGATGGGAAAACTGGAAGATCTCAGTGAAGTTCATTGCTGTATGTATCGGGTGAATTAAAATAACCCTCAGTTACCACACGCTGGTTTCCTTTCCTTTGTGACATTGATTTGGGTTTACTGCAGTTCTTACCATCTTAAATATAAGTAATCCATCCTTCTACTTTCTAGCCTAGAAAGATGTTCCTTTCCTACTCAAGTGGTAATTGGTGCCTGCACACCCTCCGTCTGAAGAGCATCAAATCGTCTTACTCTCCTTTTGTGCTTCCCCTTCTGGTGCTGCCAACTCCTGACAGCTCTGGAAAGATGTAATTAGGGCTTTTAGCCGTATTTTAAGCCTTCCTCCCCCTCAAATCTTTCAGTCTTCTGTTTTTCTTGACAAACCATTTGTGTGTGTGTTTGCATATACTTCATTGCCCCTTGCTTTTTCCAGCAACTTGAGGATGCTTGCATAATACCCAATTTATTTTGGCTATTTTTGAAATGCCCTGGCTTTGTTCTGAAATTTTACCCACAAGGAAAGTTATCTGAGCTTGTCCTTGAAGGTCCGACTTGGGTAAAAGATTCCATTGTGCTTTACTGATTCTAATTGATGATGCCATTAGACAGAGAGCAAGAAGCAGCTAGGCACACCCTTTGAGCATGCCTGGACCTAGCGAAGCCAAGAATGCTTTCTCTAAGCGCCATTTGTACTGAACTTTAATATAATATGTACTTTTTAATTCCTGTAATCTGTTTTTTTTTCCATTCAGTTTTGGCTCATAAACAGGATCAATACATAAGGAACTAATTTAGAGCTAGGCAATATCACTGAATTACTCTTTGTTGGTCTTAAAGGTGCCACTGGACTCCAACTTTGTTCTGAATTATTCTTGTAATCCAAGTCCCTGCTTGTTGGCTTGCGATTTGGCCCTGAACGAGTTGAGTATTGAGAATAATCAGGACTTAATTTAAGTCAGGCACTCCGCAGGCCTTGGGTTTAGAACGTGTTTTTAATGTCAAGATTCAGCTCTGCAATACAATAATAATAGAGGTTGGAACTTCTGAGGATGTGCTTTTGTTTCCTCTCTGATTACAACTAGTCTGCGCACTGCTGGGATGGGGATGGGGTGGAGTTCCTAGACCAGATGGTACGACTGCTTGGTGGGTGTGATCACGTGTTAGAAATCAAGCATTGGAAATCATACAAATGGAGTTTTAAGAAGCATTCAGCCGTGACCTGGATAGCCCAGTCTAGCCAGATCTCAGAAGCTAGGCAGGGTCAGCCCTGATCAGTTATTTGGATGGGGGGCCACCAAGGAACACCAGGGTCACTACACAGAGGCAGGCAATGGCAAACCACCTCTGAATGTGTCTTGCCTCGAAGATGGGTGCGATGCGACAACAAAAAAGGAAGCAAAAAAGCATTCAATGAGATTTACAGCTATTCTTTTTGGTCTTTCTGTCCTATTTCCTTTTATCATATTACGTTGTTGTTGTTGTTGTTCAGTCGCACAGTCGAGTCAGACTCTTAGTGACCCCCATGGACCACATCACGCTGTCCTCTGGAGTTTGCTTAATTTCATAACATTATTAGAAAGAAGTAGGTTATTGCATGTTTCCATTTTACAGGTAAGCACCCTGCTCCAGGAACAGGTCATGGCGCAGAAGCCGGCTTCCACACGAACAGCTGTCACGCCTACAGATGTACGTTTGTATTGTGGCACTCATCCAGGCCATGCTTGAAATAACATGCATCCTCCCCAGGCAAATTCCTATGCATAAATTTGGGCTGAATAAAAGCCAATGACTTCTCCAAAGACATCCATGACCAAAGGAGGAGTTAATCCACTGTATATGACTCTACTTCTACCTTCTCTTTAGAAAAGGTGGAGCCAGGAAAAAAAACCACCCAGTGCCACCACACTTTTTTTAAAAAAAATCAAGTACAGGAGAGTTGTGCTCTTACATTTTTTGTTCTGGAGTAGTGATTTTCCCCAGAGAGATTGTGTGGTCTCATCTTTGCCAATAGGCTTCACGATAAGTCTATGAGTGGTCATAACCATTTCATGGGGACTGGTAAAGTGCTTATACAATGTTGGCAAGATATGTGACTCTTTCAGAGCAGGCGGAGTGGTAGGATTGAGGCGGGAAGCCCTTGCTTAAAATCCCCTCTCAGCCACATATTAACTGGATCTATGATTTTTTTTTTAATGTAGAGTGCATTTTTAAACCCACCTTTTGTCCATGGAGCTTCATGTTGCTTGTATCATTCTCCCCTCCTCCTCGCAAGAGCTCTGTGAAGTAGGTTAAGGAGACTGGCCCAAGAACCGCCAGCAAAGTTCATGGTGGAGTGAGGATTTGAACTCAGATCTTTAACATCCTACACTACAGCTCCTAAACACAGTATTGCTTTAGAGTTAGAAGGCTGTAACTCTATTTAGCACTGTAAGGCTCATAGTCTAGCCACTGTTGCTCCCCCCACCCCCTCCGGGTGTCCCCTTGAACTCAGTAGGTCTTAATCTGGAGTATGTATGTGTCAGATTGCAATGTTTAAAGCATGTTTAGTGCCAGATTCTAATGTTTAATATATGTTTGGTGCCGAGTGTGCTTTGAACATTTGAAATGTGATAATTATGCTTGGTATTACCTGCTTATTATAAATGCATAAAGTGAAATGTGCTGTGTATGTACATGGTGCACTATACTATGGGCCAGCTATTCCAAAAGAGTGAGTGCATTTATTTGTTAATTTATATCCTGCCTTTTCAGTAATTGGGCTTCAAGGCAACTTAATTACAGATACTGGAACCACACAAAGCCATTCAAATCATTTTTTTAAATGTTCTAAAACGGAGCACAGAAGTAAATCCAGTACAAAAACAGAGATATTATTTTATTTATTTTTAATTTCATTATATTTATACCCCACCCTCCCTGCGAGCGGGCTCAGGGAGGCTTACAACAAGGCACAAAGTACATACAGTATAAAACAGTTAACATTCAGTACAATCAGGATGCAAGAATAGAAAGATGTGAAACATCTTGCATACCAGAAGGGGGGGGGCCAGGGCCGTAGATAGAAGTTACTTGGCCCTCCGGGGGTGTCGCTCTATAGTGGAGCGGTGGTGGTAGTGGCAGTGGCGGCTCCTACTCAAAAGCCTGGCGGAAGAGCTCCATCCTGCAGGCCCTGCGGAATTGCAAAAGGTCCCGCAGGGCCCTGATCTCCTCCGGGAGCTCATTCCACCAGATAGGAGCCGCCACTGAAAAGGACCTGGCCCTCGTTGCCGCAAGCCTGGCCTCCTTGGCGCCCGGGGTCACCAGCTGGTGTTGTGACCCCAACCGAAGTGCTCTTTGGGGCATATGTGGGGAAATGCGGTCCCTCAGGTATGCCGGACCCTGGCCATGTAGGGCTTTAAAGGTAAGCACTAGCACTTTGAAGCGAATCCGGTATGCTATAGGCAGCCAGTGCAGCACTTTCAGTACAGGTCGGGTGTGCTCCCACCTAGGGGCGCCCACCAACAGCCTGGCCGCAGCATTCTGCACCAGCTGCAGCTTTCAGATTTGCGACAAAGGCAGCCCCATGTAGAGAGCGTTGATACTTACAAAAGCAAGTTCACAACTCGATGATACTCTTGAATCCATGCTGACAGAAGATATACAAAACATCATGATAGTATGTAGCACCTTTACACAACTTCAGTTTGTGCACCAGCTGCAGCTTTTCCTTGAGTGTCCACAGTTGTCCAGTGTGCTGATTCTATCTAGATTAGACTACTGCAGTATGTTCCACAAGGGGCTGCCTCTCCAAGATTGCTGCCTAGCATGGGTTGTAGGGAATGTATCATGCCATCTTTGGGGAAAAAAAAAATCCCACTAGGGCCTTTTCTGCTATGGCACTTTGGAACTTCAACCCCACATTATTTTACCTGCTGTTGAGTTTGTAAGCAAAGCCATTTTCATTTTCCTGGGCATTTGGTGATACTTGCTGTATGCTTTGTACTACAAGGATCAGACCTTCCACTCACCAGTAGTACTTCTGTCTTGTTGGGATAAAGCTTCAGTTTATTAGCCTGCACCCATCCCAAAACTGCCTACCGGCATTGGTTCAGGGTTTCTACAGCCTCCACAGGATCAGCTGGAAGTGTGAGGTAGAGCTGAGAGACATCTGTGTATTGGAGACAACCCAGCCCAAATCTTTGGATGACCTAACCCAGAGGTTTCATGCAGATGGTAAAGAGCACAGGGACAAAGCAGGAGCCTTGTGGGACCCCACAGATCAAAGGGCTGAGCAGCAATCCCCTAGCGCTACTTCCCCATTATTCTGGCCTCCCGTCTCCCCCCCCCATTTGACCCAGCCTATTCAATCAGTATGGGGGGGGGGTTGTGCACTGCCCTCTTTTAATCTTGGGCATTTATTGTGCTGTAGAATGTTTTACTGTTGTATTCTTTTTATTGTGTTTTAAATTTGTTGTGAGCCATCCTGAGCCCTGCATGCAGGGAAGGGCGGGCTAGAAATCTAAACAGTAAACAAATAGATGCCGAAATGTACCTTCCAGGTAGGACTGGAACCACCACAGAATGGTGCCTCCCAATCCCAGCCCAGATAGGTACCTCCAGAAGAAGAAGAGTTTGGATTTTATACCCCGCCCTTCACTACCCAAAGGTGTCTCAGAGCGGCTTACAAACTCCTTTCCCTTTCCCTTCCCCACAACAGACACCCTGTGAGGTAGGTGGGGCTGAGAGAGCTCTGACAGAAACTGCTCTTTTTTTCAAGAACAGCTCTTATCAGAACTACGGCTTGCCCAAGGTCATCCAGCCAGGTGCAAGTGGAGGAGTGGGGAATCAAACCCGGTTCTCCCAGATTAGAGTCCGCGCACTTAACCACTACACCAAGCACAGCATACCATGATTGATGGTGCCAAAAGCTGTTTAGAGGTCCAGGAGAATCTACAGAGTTGCACTCTGTCATCTCCCTCTCTACTAGGCGATTTTGAATTCTTGCCCCTGCTCTTATTTACTCTGCTACTAATTTGGTATTTATTGCTTTTTTGAGGGAAAAAAGTCTGGTTTTACCGTGATGTTTTGGTTGAAAGTCAACAGAAATGTCTAATCAATAAATGGGTCACCAGCACCACGCAGCCCTGCTGCAGCAACAGCTTGTAGCAGAGCTTCTGTGAAATGAGGATGAACCGGTGCCAAAGCTTATGTCATTGCATTACGAATTTTTGCCTGCACCACAAAACTTGGCCTCTCTTACTTTCCCTGTAGCCCACCGGGCTGCCCAATTAAGACACAGCCCCTCCTCGCCCCTGGCCAGCTCCGTTTCCTGCAGCAGGGGGGGGGGCTTTCTGAGCCTCAGGCCGTCAGGAGTCAGCTCATGGAAGAAATATCACAAAGCAGCTCACCTATACCAGAAGACTCTACAAGGTGAAGTTGTAGATATAAGGGTCATATAACACAAGCACAAAGCTCTGCTTCTAAGTCGTTTATACAGCATTCCTTTTCTCTACATTCCTTTCCTATTTTACTGAAGCTCAGCGCCACCACCTCGTTCCTTCGGAAAGGAATCTTCTTGCTGCTTTCACTGCAGTTGGGCTCCCTGGTGCTCAATCTTGTTCTAACTCCGCTGTATGATTACTGCTAATCCTTGCAAGCCCTGACCTGGATAGCCCAGGCTAGTCCAATCTCAGAAGCTAAACAGGGTCAGCCCTGGCTAGTAGTTGACTGGGATTCCTCCAAGGAATATCAGGGTCGTGATGTGAAGGTAGGCAATGACAAACCACCTCCGAGAGCCAGTTTGGTGTAGTGGGTAAGTGCGCGGACTCTAATCTGGGAGAACCGGGTTTGATTCCCCACTCCTCCACTCGCAGCTGCTGGATGACCCTGGGCAAGCCATAGTTCTGTCAGAGCTGTTCTCTCAAGGAAAATTGTGGAAAGAGCTCTCTCAGCCCCACCTACCTCACAGGGTGTCTGTTGTGGGGAGGGGAAGGGATGGGAGTTTGTAAGCTGCTCTGAGACTCTGAGTAAAGGGTGGGGTATAAATCCAATCTCCTCATAATAGACGCCAATGTTGGATCAGGCCAAAGGGCCATCCAGCCCAACACTCTGTGTCACACAGTGGCCAGAAATCCCAGGTGCCATCAGGAGGTCCACCAGTGGGGTCAGGACATTAGAAGCCCTCCCACTGTTGGCCCCCCCAAGCACCAAGAAGACAGAGCATCACTTGCCCCAGAGCCCCTATCTATACCTTGTGGCTAAATAAGAACTCCTCTTGCCTTGAAAACCCTGTGGGGTTGCTGTAAGTCAGCTGTGACTTGACGGCAAATAAATAAACAAACCTTTGCAAACAGGATCACATATGTGGTTCAGGCTCACGTATTTTGTACACTTGGTGGTAGCAGGGAATCCCCTGAACATTGCAAACCAGAATGTCAGAGGGCAGGCTTGGTTCTAGTCTGGTTTTGGTGCTGAAGTGCTCGTCTGCTATACCTGAGGAGGGTTCCATTTGACCCTGTAAGGGACCTACAGTCTGATGAGAATGAGGTGGTAAAGTGCATTGGGGTGGGGAGATCATCCAGAAATGCCGCACGGTTCTGCGCATTGTGTAGTCAGGCTCTTAACCACACTCAACAGGCATGCTCTGGCTGCCGTTCAGCATGTACAGATACATTCACATGAATTGATGCCATTCCTTTCCCTTGAAGGTTACTCAGACACTTGTGACATGGTTGCTCTTAATGACTTGGGTGGGCAAATTAGCATGTGATCTGAAGCCCCAGTTGCTTTCCTGGTGGGTGGCTCTGTTAGAGCTGATGTTCCGCGATCTTTAAAAATGCACTTTGTGTTTTAAATGGGCTCTGGTCTCCGGAGTTTCTCTAATAGCAAACTTTTGTTTTTATAGCCTGCGTTTTGTACGGTGGTAAAACTCTGTTCTTGGAATGATTTTTAAACCAGCCAGGGCTTTATGCAATAATTCAGTGTAAATAAGTAAAAGCACAGTCCTCTGCAACTGCGGGGGGCTATCGCTCTCCTTCCCACACAAAAGTGGGTCAAGGCAAAAGGCCCCCCCCTCTCCCTGACGACCACCGGTGATTAAGGGATATTGCGGGGGGGGGGAGGGGTAATTAATCCTTTGAAGGGAAGGAGCTTCAGTTTGCGGCATCCTCGAAGAAGGTAGACTGGAGCGTGAGAGGCGCTCGCCTAGGCAACAGCAGCCGCTTCCCAGATAAGTGACTCATTTGCTGCTGCTGCTGTTCCCGGCCGCCCACCCAGTTGCCACGAAGGGAGAGGCGAGGGGGTGGGCCATCCAGCGGCAGCTGCTGCTCCCAGGTACCCTCCTGCCTCCTGCTCGATCCGGTGCCCCCCTTCCCTCCCTGCCTGCCTTCCCCGCACTCGGCAGCCGCTTCACTCCACAGGCTCTGCCCGGACGCGCCCCCCATCTGCCGCCTCTCCCGGCCCACCTACCCTTCAGAGGCCCCGGACGACGATTCGCTCCCGGCCAGGATCCGCGCGGGGGTTTCTCTTCGGTCCGCCGCTGCACGAAGGCAACACTCCCCCCCCCCACCCCCCGCCTGGGCTTTGTCCGCCTGGATCCACTCCCGGAGTCTCTCTCCCTCTCTCTCTCCCTCGCCGTCCACCAGATCCGCTCCGGGTTTCCGCTGATCCCGGCGACGCCAGGAAGGGACGATCCAGGCCGGGTCTCGGCTTCCGCCCAGCCCCCTCCCCGCCTTCGCCCATCCCCGGCGCCTCCACCGCGCGGCGCTCCCCGGGGCTGCCTTGAGCCGGGCAGGCTGCTCGCGGGGTGCCCGGCCGGGGGGCTGCGGCTGGCCGGCCCGCCC